CATATAATGACATCTATAACTAGCATTAAACCAGTTATGCATGCAGTTTGCCCTCTTTACTGACAATTGACTTACTCTAGGAATGAAGAACATATTTTTGAACCATGACATACTCCCCAACTATACTGAAATTTGTTTTCGAATTTCTCAGGCTTCCAGAGGAATGTGAATTAAACTTTGAGCTATCATTATGATTATCATGATGTTACAGTTCAAAGCCATTAACTATTTTGTGAAGTGGTCTAATAGCTCAGTCAATAACGCCTTGGAACAATGTTCCAAATGTACCATGTTAAAATCCTGTTCAGGCTGTACATTTTTCTTACCCTGTGACATATGTCCTCTATTATCTATACATGTAATTCATTAAAGCGTCCACTTCATGGGACACTGGAAGCTCGACAACTTATTTCGGTTGCAACAACTATATTGTGTTTGCAACTCTCTAAATTAAATAAAATGAAAAATGCAGCCATTAAAAGAAAACTTAATCGAATAATCTGAAAATCATGCGGCATTCATGTCCATACTTTATTTCATCACCCACGTAAACTGATGACAAACATGTGTATCGCAGTATATTTTTTTAAAATTTTGTCATGGAACGATTTCGGTTTAATACAATTTTCAAATATATATCTAAAGATAATACAATGTAAATTTACTTCGACCTTTCTTACTTAAATCACGGATTTATATTACAAGGATCGGACACTTTCGTTTAGCTTAAAGTCCCGTCGCGCGCATGCGCGGAATCGGATAAAGGTGGACAGAATGAGATGGCGGAACGTGCAGAGTACGAAATATGACAGATTTTCACCGGAGTATGTGGTGTTATTGTAGCTTTGTGAAAAATTATACACATATGAATGTATTGATACAGTATTATTTTGTGTCGCTAAAGTATTATTATATGAAAATATGCTGATAGAACGCTGCAACGCTTAGTTAAAAAGTACCTAATTTAAAAAATATTCGCCTATTGTTTAGGCATACTCTCTACACTTCGCCGCCCTTTTACTTCAAGCACGAATTATTACCGCGATTCAGAATAAGATAATTATTTTTTACATGGTTTAATGATGGCATTGCAAAAAAACGTTTCTTGATTGCTAAAAAACTTTTAAAGAAATTCATGTTTGAAATGTGTCTTTATTTCTGTGAATTATTTCCAAATGATTTGTACATTTTTTATTTGATTACCTGTATATTACTAATAATTAGTATAAATATAGTAAATATTCTACTATTAAGTGTATTAAATATATTTTCAGATCATTCTAGACAAGCAATAATAATGATATAAATGATGAATGAAATTTAAATATTCTATGAATATGGCAATATTGACAATCTCGGCAATATTTTGTACTAAAAAATGAATAAATTTTCTTCACGTGTAAAGGCCGCAATACATTACCCGTAAAACAATTGTGCGTTAATAAATTTGACTACATAACCCAACAAATCTTAAATATTGCATCTTTGATCATCTGTGAATAACTTACATCGGCTTCTTTTTTGTTTTGAAACTGAAAGTATTATGGTACCGTAATAATAAATTTCAAATACCTGCTTTTTATATAAAAAAATGTAAATTTACCGCGGATTTCGTCAAGTTAATTTCTTAACCGTCGTTGCGGACAGATAAACTGTACCTTTAAAAAATAAATTAGATATTTGAATTAACCAAGTATTTTTCTTCAAAATAAACTTTAAATTTCCAAAATCGGATAATAAATGAAAAAGCTATATGGTATTTTGTAAAGTAGGTATCCGTTGCGAACGGGCATTTACGCTTCGCGCCGGCAAATTATCGATCGATGTACCTTTATCGGGCGCACGACAAGATATTTAAGCATTTATATAGGGTTAACTGGGAGTGTCCGATCCCTGTAATATAAATCCGTGCTTAAATGTACTCTACCCGGTGTTTTTAGCAAAGTTTGACCTATCCACTCCCCACCCACTCTGTTTACCTATTGTACATGTCTGCCATCATTTCCATTTCAAGATCTGCGACTAATTTCAGCTGTGCCTCTGTAATTCCAGCCATTTTGAAACTATATATATCGTTTTCAATTACAAAGTGGTTTTCTAATGGCAACTGAAGCGACTTCAAATTAACCACGTGAATCAGCTGTCAAAATATACCGGAAGTTTACAACTTCGCGACAGTACTTTGATATCCGTTTCGTCGGTCCAATGAAATCCAATGTAACATGAATGCAAAATTATTTTAGCCAATCAGTGAAAATGTAATAAATAAGCTTTCAGACAAGAATGTTTTTGTGTTAGGAAAAAGAAAGTGACAGATGTCTAAGCAAAATTAAGTCGTTTATGAAATTATATATAATTTAAAAAGTTAATAAAACCATTCCGTTTTGCTCAACATATATTCAGGGTAATATAGGCCAATTCGATTTTCTAAAGATTATTTTCCAAGGTTTTTAGACACTTTTGAAAGATGGGGGATTCAGAGCCAGACACAAAACTGTGTAATAACTGGTAAGTAAACTATGATATATCTTTATTCAACTTTTGCCATCATATCACATTTAAGGTTAGGATATGTTTCTTGGATAGGATATCAAGACCTCAAATATATGTTATTCTTGTAAATTTAAAGCCAATAACAAGGTTAAGTAATAATAATAATAATTGAAGTACAAGGTTGTCTAATTATCAGTTTTTATCATCTTTATCAAAATATGTAACTGATCACATTGATTTATCTAGAAACTGAAAATGGCAAAGATTCAAATATTCACTATTACGGACAGATCAATTTAAATAATAGGATTTTGACTGCCATAATTTCAATTCCCTTAAATTGCCTTTGTTTCTTTTTTATGTTTCTGTTGTAAATCAGCATACCGTAAAAGCCCGATTTAACACCCCGGGGCATAACATTTTTCAAAGAGGGAGGGGGCATTTAAATAAAGATCAAGTCGTAGTGAAAATGATTCTCTTTTTTTTCTTTCTTCAAATGAAGTAAAAAAATCCACGCAAGTCCTGTTTAAACACATCATCATCCTGTCAACCCATGACACCTATGATCTACACCGTGAGCTCTCTCGAATTTTCCTCTAAAAAATTCCACAAGATTACATGCAGTTGACACCTTTGATCTTGCCGTCAATCGGATGTCATTAATGCAACTTTCCTTATTTATTTTATGTGGCAACACGCCCCACTTCCAAATCTGTGAAGTTGTCCATGTGCAATGCTGTATTGGTAGTGTGTGTACTGTAAATATGTTTACCATTTTGTGTTTCTTTAACAGTTTAGTTTACAAGTAGACTACACTCTGTTTTAATTAAGTCACATTTTAGTATCTAACAACAGCACATAATAAATTGGTGAATCTGTTGCGACATTTCCATTCTCAATGAGTATGTATCTACTTCTACTGTATATGTTACTTGACTAAGTATATATTTTTGATGATATTTTATTAAATAATATATTTATATTTCCAGCAAGAAGCAGATCTCGGCCAATAATTTTGTAATGCACGAGATGCATTGTAAACGCCACATTTCATTGTGCGAGCAATGTAATGAACCTATTCCAAAAAATGAAATGGAAGTACATTATGAAGAAAATCATGCCAAGATAAAATGTCCTAAATGTGAAACAGAAGTTGAGAAAATGCATTTAGAGGAACACGAGGTATAATATCATTTTAAGCTTGTCTGTGCGAAGAAAATGTTAAGCTACATTTATTATAATTGCTGTGTTGTTGTTGTCATCGTTATGGTAGCCCATTATTTAAATATTTTAATATGTATCACTATGAAACTTGGAATACTTGTTTATCATGACAAAGCACAGTTTTGAGATATTGAGCATTATTCTGATAATAAAAGGTATATTTTGGAGTTATGCCTCTTTTTAGCATATATTTTAGAGTTATGCCCCTTTTAAACAGAGAAATTTTGTCAAAATTTCTGATTATGTAGAACGATTTCAAAACTTAAAGAAAGATCATGAAAGTGGGAAGAACTGCTTATCATAACAGTATTTAGATGTAAGACAAGGGGCATTACTTTGATTTTTTTGTCAAAAATAGTTATTGATAGTCACTCTTAACAGAAGAGCATTAACACCGCATGTAGTGCTCTTGTTTACTTAAGTTACTGTATGATTAATGGGATTCAAAATCAGAAAACTTCAGAAGACAGATTTTATAGGAAAAGGCTCAGGCTTAATTTTTGAAAAATTTATTATTATTATACACTATCATTTTTGGAAAATTTTTAAAAGTTCAAAAATTATCTACATGTAATAAGTAATGTTTAAACTTCATTTTATGTATACTGGTGCCTCATATTTCCGTGGTACCCATATTTCCAAGGTAATAGGCATGAATAGCCTTAACTGCCTCATAGACTACATGCACCTGCCAGTAGTTTAACTTTCACTTTCTTATTCTATTTTTTTGAAAATGTAACATAAACAACTGAAAAAACTTATTATGTTAATTAGATTAAGAGCAAAGTAAATTATTTCAACATTCAACTTTCAGTTTTTGTACCTTTTAAGACAATTGTCTTTGTTAAACAACCATTGAGATATTTGATAAATGCCATCTATAGAGGAAATACTCACTTTAAGATGGGGCTAAGAATAAATGAACTAAAAAAGAAAGATTAATACTATTGGTTTAGCTTTTGAAACTGTAAAAATGTAATTGCCTTGGAAATATGAGAACACAACTTTACTCACTAGGCAGCAGATGGGTGTTATTTGCCATGTTGTATACATAATTGCTTACATGCAAACATTAAAAGGAATAAACTATGATGTAACTGACATGTCTTTCCTTCATTATTCAACATATTTTCCAGAATTTTATTCTTCTAACTTTTGTTGTTTGTGTTAAAGTGTCAAGTACCACGGAAATATGAGGCACCAGAATATATGATGCTGTTTTTGAAAATTGGGGATAAAAATGGGTTAAAAATGCACTGATTCATTGTACTCAAATTAAAAAGTCAATGCATGCTTTTAAACAATATTTTAGTTTAAAACATGTTTCGTAAATTGACATTTAATTATATATTCATAACTAAGGTATAATTGAATGTACCTTTGAAGTTGCTACCTACCAGTAATTGTTTAATAAAATAAAAAATGATAAACTTTTTATTTGTTTCAGGAAAATTCCTGCTCAAAGAAGCCTATGCAATGTGTGTATTGTGAACTGGAATTTCCAAAAGATAAATTAGACTCACACCTGGACTATTGCGGGAGTCGTACTGAGCCGTGCCCAAAATGTGGCCAGTTTATAATGCTTAAAGAACAGACTAAACATGATGACAGTAACTGTACTTATCCTGAAGTAAAACCTAAAAATAATAATGTGGCTGATGGGCACAGAAGGCCTGATGATTTCTTAGATGATATATTTAGAAGTAGGGGAGGTAACACTGGAGGTAGAAGCATGGGACTTAACTCTGGAGGGCATGATTTTGGCGGATTTGTAGATAATTCATTTGGTGCTGACTATATAGGTTCTAGGAGGCAGGCTAATGTTCGCCATACTTCAAAGGTTAACAATAAAAAACCAGCAGTTGATAAACATTTAGGTAAGAATTGGTGTTTAATAAGGAAAGAATAATGAGGCCAGACTTTGTGCTTAAAAATAATTTCCTTATGTAAGATTTAAAGAAGTGTTTCAATTTAAATTGTGTAAAACACAAAAGAATGGTTCCTAATAATTCCTTTATAACATATGCAGCAGTATGGCAGAGCAGTTAACTCTTCAGATTAGAAACAGAAACAGAGTACTGGTTTGTTCAGGAAATGATCTATAAGCTTATAACTTTCTATACAAACCAAAAAACCAAAAGAAAAACAAAAATCTCTAAATAAGAAGAAAATGGAGCAGTAAAACATGGCAACACCAGAACTGGTTGAGGTTATTTATTCTGTACCTTTTCGGTTTTATCGAACCCTCATCAAAAAATTCTGTATAAACTAGACAATTACCTTATAGGTTCTGCAGACAGAGAGTCTGAGTATGACAGGTTACTGGCTATGCACCTGGCAAAGGATCTTCATCAAGATAATAGCATGGAGGAGATGGTTAGGGAATTTAACAAACCACAGTCCCCTACCGTCCCTAGCTCACAAGTCAAATATGGACGGAACTCTCTGTCAGAAGGTAAAAATTTTGAGTTAAAATAACAGTATGTTTGGGTTTTTTTTATATCATAATATCAAATTTATATTGTAATTATATATTAACTTAGATAGTTAATTTTATTGGCTGTAAAACTTACCTGAATTTTTTAATTTGTTTGCTAGGAGATAAAGTATAAGAATATTTTTTGGTTGTCTGGCTGAGGGTTCTAAGAACCTGATTTTAGATCATTTGCCCCTCGAGGCTGTGAGATTGACATTGAGTCTCAAAGGATACTGTGTGTTATTTTTTCCAAGGAAGCTTACATAAGGCATGTGGCTCTGCTATGATACCTCTATGATTAAAATAAAGCAAGGAGGGGCACCTGAGGTCTTCCTAAGTGAGCCTCATTATGATACTAACGCAGAGAGGGGAACCGTAGATCCTCCTCCACCAGTAAAGCTTTATATATGTCTGTGACATTTAAAACCAAACTAAAGTGAAAAGAAATTGATATGAGGGAATAATATAATACAAGTAAACAATATTCAATCACTTAATATTGAACAACATTGTAATACAATGCTGGAACCAAAGTAATACAAAGGTTGAATCTGATCAGCCTGCACATCTGTACATTCTAACCAAGTTTTAAAACTGTTATGTTGGCTAATCATACTGTAATTGATATATCACTAAAGTTGATAATGGACTCAACTGTTTTAAAATGGAGATTGGACAAGTCGATTCTGGAAATTAATCAATTACAAACATATGAATAGATTTCCAAACATTTTTGCAACTGTTTTTCATATATACAGAAGTTTATGTACATTCTTGAAAAATACAAGTCTCAAGTCTTGCTGTAACATTTCTTCTATTAAAGTCCATATTAAAGTATGGGTACAGTATTTTGGTCTAACCTTCACTAGGAAACAAAGCATTGTAAACAAATGGTAAGTTAATGCTAGGAGTTGATAACTAAATTTATACCAATATATTGAGTAACAGTCCACTTAAATTAAGATTGAGAAACTGTTTCTATTTATAGATCTGGTGATGATACCGTGTGAGTTTTGTGGTGAACCATTTGATGCTGATGACCTTGTTCAACATCAGGTCTGAATTTTTTATACTTTATATTTTCTAATTCTTGATAAGGAATACACTTACTTATATATACTTTGCTGAGATGTGTAGCCCTAGTGATGATAATAATTTATCATACATTTATATTCCTTAACTTTTTTCTCAAGTTCATAGAATTTAGCAAGAGTTTGCCACCAGTATAGAGCCTGGACAACTTGCGCATCAATGCAGTCTGACCAAGCTCTACACTGTTGGCTGACCAGTTTCAAATTTTCATCCTTTCACTTCAAACAGGACTTCAGTAAGTGGAAGTTCAGGAGTTACTTACTCGGTAAATTTGGCATGTGGCATTCAAAATGTAATGCTTTTCTTTTTTATCTTAATAATATGATATTGTCAGACATTTTGCAGTCTCTGACTTCCAAATTTTGGAACTTAATGGAAGCCCTGTCCAATGTTCCAAATATGGGAGCTTGACCACGCCTTGAGGTTATAAAACTTTTTTCTGAGTTCTTTTCAAATATCAAGATTTTTTTTGGTCAGTGTACATTCTGTGGCAGTTTCTGACCATTCAAGTACCTGTAATCTGAAGTTGAGTTGAGAGAATTTTTATATAACCTAAGTCCTTGGACCCCAGTACATTTAAGAAATTCGACTTGTTAAGAGTGATGATTATCAGAATTATTGTTAAACCCGAGATTTAATTATAGAGCGGCTGTTCGTTGGAGCGTATAAGTGCCATGTTACCACAGATGACGACAGCCAACAACGTTAGAGACGTGCCCAACAGTCAAACAAACACCGTACAACCTCCCAGTATCATCAACAACCTACAGGCTTATGGTGCTGATGAATGGTAACTTAGCAACTTAATATACTTTTTGTACTAAATACAAAATTTCAGAAAATCTGGCTTTGAACAAAGTGTTTGCCATAAGATATTTATAAAAAGAAAAAGCTGTGACTGATTCAGCCAACTGCAGTAAAAGTAGCTATAAATAGTTTACCAAAGAGATTACGTCAAAATGGAGTTAAAAGTAACTTAAAATATAAAAGGTCAGTTAGCAAAAACAAAGCACAACACTTGGTTTGGTGTAGTGCTTAACATACTGGACCAGCATGTCTTTTCCTCTTTTTCTTTTCATTTTTAGCTCGACTATTCGATAAGAATAAGTAGAGCTATTGTAGTCACCCGAGCGTCGGCGTTGGTGTCCGCGTCGGCGTAACCACTTAAAGTTTTTGTAATACCTCAAATATTTTCAAAGTCCATTGACATATGGCTTTGAAACTTTGCACACTTGTTCACCATCATGACCCCAACCTGTAGACAGGAGGAGATAACTGTATCAAGCATTTTGACAGAATTATGCCCCTTTTTAGCTCAACTATTCAATAAGAATAAGTAGAGCTATTGTAGTCACCCGAGCGTCGGCGTCTGCATCGGCGTAACCACTTATGTTAAAGTTTTTGTAATAGTTCAAATATATTCAAAGTCCATTGACATATGGCTTTGAAACTTTGTACACTTGTTCAACAATATGACCCCAACCTGTAGACAGGAGGAGGTAACTCTATCAAGCATTTTGACAGAATTATGCCCCTTTTTCAACTTAGAATTTACGTTACAGTTTCTGTAATACCTCAAATATTTTCAAAGTCCATTGACATATGGCTTTGAAACTTTGCACACTTGTTCACCATCATAACCCTAACCTGTAGACAGGAGGATGTAACTCTATCAAGCATTTTGACAGAATTATGCCCCTTTTTATATGCCCGAAAGGGCATATTATGTTATACCCCCTGGCGTCCGTCTGTCTGTCTGTCTGTCCGTCCGTACGTCCGTCCGTCCGTCCGTCCGTTCGTTAGCAATTTGGTTTCCGGAGCATAACTTAAGTTCCATTTGGCCCACAATGTTCAAACTTCATAGGATGATTGTCCATGTTGGGTAGAAGACCCCTATTGATTTTGGGGTCAAAAGGTCAAAGGTCAAGGTCACTATGACCTTAAAACTGAAAACAGTTTCCGGAGCATAACTTAAGTTCCATTCGACAAACAATGATCAAACTTAATAGGATGATTGTCCATATAAGGTAGAAGACCCCTATTGATTTTGGGGTCACAAGGTCAAAGGTCAAGGTCGCTATTACCTTGATACTGAAAACAGTTTCCTGAGCATAACTTAAGTTCCAAATGACCCACAATGTTCAAACTGCATAGGATGATTGTCCATAGTGGGTAAAAGACCCCTATTGATTTTGGGGTCAAAAGGTCAAGGGTCAAGGTCACTATGACCTTAAAACTGAAAACAGTTTCCGGAGCATAACTTAAGTTCCATTTGACCCACAATGTTCAAACTTCATAGGATGATTGTCCATATTGGGCAAAAGACCCCTATTGATTTTGGGGTCACAAGGTCAAAGGTCAAGGTCACTATTACCTTGATACTGAAAACAGTTTCCGGAGCATAACTTAAGTTCCAATTGACCCACAGTGTTCAAACTTCATAGGATGATTGTCCATATTGGGAAGAAGAGCCCTATTGATTTTGGGGTCACAAGGTCAAAGGTCAAGGTCACTATTACATTGATACTGGAAACAGTTTCCGGAGCATAACTTAAGTTCCATTTGGCCCACAGTGTTCAAACTTCATAGGATGATTGTTCATATTAGGTAGAAGACCCCTATTGATTTTGAGGTCAAAAGGTCAAGGGTCAAGGTCACTATATTCTATAAACTGAAAACAGTTTCTGGAGCATAACTTAAGTTCCATTTGGCCCACAATATTCAAACTTCATAGGATGATTGTCCATATTGGGCAGAAGACCCCTATTGATTTTGGGGTCACTAGGTCAAAGGTCAAGGTCACAATTACCTTAAAACCAAAAACAGTTTCTGGAGCATAACTTAAGTTCCATTTGGCCCACAATATTCAAACTTCATAGGATGATTGTCCATATTGGGTAGAAGACCCTATTGATTTTGGGGTCACAAGGTCAAAGGTCAATGTCACTTTTACCTTAATACTGAAAACAGTTTCTAGAGCATAATTAAAGTTCCAATTGGCCAACAATATTCAAACTTTTTAGGATGATTGTCCATATAAGGTAGAAGACCCCTATTGATTTTGGGGTCAAAAGGTCAAAGGTTAAGGTCATTATTAATAACTTAAGTATTAATCAACCTACAGCTGTAAAATTTTATAGGATGAACAGCTAATTCCCATGTCTTATAAATGCTTCATCCTTATTAAAAAAAAAAAAAAACACTTTCGGGCATATAATGCTCCGCCTAGCGGTGCTCTTGTTCAACTTAGAATTTACGTTAAAGTTTTTGTAATACCTCAAATATTTTCAAAGTCCATTGACATATGGCTTTGAAACTTTGCACACTTGTTCACCATCATGACCCCAACCTGTAGACATGAGGAGGTAACTCTATCAAGCATTTTGACAGAATTATGCCCCTTTTTCAACTTAGAATTTACGTTAAAGTTTTTGTAATACCTCATATATTTTCAAAGTCCATTGACATATGGCTTTGAAACTTTGCACACTTGTTCACCATCATGACCCCAACCTGTAGACAGGAGGAGGTAACTCTTTCAAGCATTTTGACAGAATTATGCCCCTTTTTCGACTTAGAATTTATGTTAAAGTTTTTGTAATACCTCAAATATTTTCAAAGTCCATTGACATATGGCTTTGAAACTTTGCACACTTGTTCACCATCATAACCTCAACCTGTAAACAGGAGGAGGTAACTGTATCAAGCATTTTTGTTTACTATCAAGCACTAAGAATAGTCGAGCGTTGCTGTCCTACCGGCAGCTCTTGTTTACAATTATTAAAATTTCTGACTAGAGCTGTTATATTTACAAACATATACATGTCATAGTATAAACCAGACTTTTTGTATTGTCACTTTTTAATCAAACTTCCTTCTATAAGCACCAAAATTACTGATACTTGTCTACACTGACTCATCTGACTTAAATAATTTTGTAAGTTTCATTGTGTTTTACGTCACACTGACACAGTGTAGGTAATATGGTAACATTCCAGCTTTACTGGTGGAGGAAAACCTCCGGTGCCCTTCCAAGCATTAATTCAGAGTAGAACCACCAACATTCCGTTAGCTAGCTGGATAGCTTCCTCACGTGAAAGAATCCAAAGTCCCTGTCGGGATTGGAATCCACAGCAGTGAGGGGCAAGCGGTTTGAAGTCAAAGACCTTAACCACTCAGCCATGGATGCCCCAATTAATTTTGTTATCTTCCTTATACTGATAGATTTTTACATTCTTCAAATAATAATTATCTCCTCTTGCACTAACATTCATTTTCACGATTCCCTTACATAAAGTCATTGACAGATTTTGCATAATTCAAATTTTCATTATCTCCCTTAAACAGAGAGATTTCATATTTTCATTATCTCCCTTACACTGACATTCTAATTTTCGCCCTTAATCTTACAGATTTAACATGATCTAAATTTTCATTTATTCCCTTCCACTGACATTCAAAATTTTCACGATCTTTGGTACACTAGCTCTCAAATCACTCAGCCATGTTAGCTATTCATTAAACACTTATTTTGAAATTTCACTAAAAATGATTAATGATTTTGTCCAGTTTGTAATATGAACAAGTTCATCTAGATATGTAGCATGGGAAAGGTTAGGAATAGCAAAATGTGATTAAAAAATGTACATATATTCTAGTAAGAAAAGTTTGTCAATATAAATGTAGAAAATGTAACACACTCAACTGTACACTATATGATTTATTGGATAATAGAGTGTCCAATATAGGAAATAAAATAAAGGGGCTGTCTTGTTTTTCAATTCCAAAGCAGCAATTGGATGGGATGCATCATACAATATACATGATATAAATAATTCATTGTCTTTTCAGTAACTTTGAAATTAAACATGTATTTATAGGCTGGACGATACTGCTGAAACAGGGTATGATATCCCACCTGAACGAGGCTTTGATATACCGCCTGAACGAGGCTTTAATATGCCAGCTGGAACAGGTTTTGATGTACTAGCTGGAGGTACTGGTGACGACCAGTTTCTGCCTTGTGAATTCTGCAATGAACTTTTCCCGTTAGATAATCTTATACAGCATCAGGTCAGATTTTGATTTCTGTTTTTATTTTGTGATTAAATTTCAGCTATTCGGGTTTTGTATTTGTTCTTGTACTTTTTGAGGCAGGCAAATTAATAGTACAATTTACAGTACAATCATATCAGAGACTATAATTTTTAGTTGTTGCTGAGATGTGTTGCTATAGCAAGGATAAATTTTTTGTGAATATCTGGAAAAAAGTGTTCCCTCGGAAGCATAAAAATCAACAAAATTACATGAAAATTGCAGAGTCTGTTTGATTGAGTCTGTACATGAGGGATAATGAAAAAGTGCAACATCCGTCACACTAGCTTGAGTAGTACTCAGTTTCAGGTTGCATCATACTAAATTGTTGAGATGGTCGTTAGACAAAGTTTTATGTTATTTAAAAATTCATAAATGATCTTACCTCTTTTGAAGTACTTTTTTTTAAACCAACAGGAGAAAAAATATCATCTTCCAAATTGTATACATGTACTTTTGATTAAAATTGTGTACTGTTTAAATACGTTGTCTGCAATTTTGTCATTTCCAGCCATGCAACCAATTTTATTAAAGTTTGGTTTAAATGTATTTATTTTAGCTTGTCTTATTCGGACACAAGAAAAACACAAGCCTTTTGGTTGCATTCAAATTTTGTCTGGTACATATTTAATGAACAGGGTTTTTACTTGCAGGTATGGTATATTGTAAGTTAGATCTAGTATATTGTTTACTGTTATAACTCTGATCAACAAATCACTTTCAGGCCATGTGTGACAGAATGACAATGACGCCCTTGCCACCGACTCCACCACATGAACAACGTCCAAAACCTAAAAAGAAAAATTCACAATCAAGTGCTCAAAGATTGGCTGCAGACTTTCCTAACCTGAATTCCAAACGTCATCAGCCCCCGCCTTCCCTCTTTAGTTCACAAGTCGATAGTGACGAAGAGGCAGCAAACGGGGCTGCTCACAGGGTGCATAAACCGAAACCATCATCTATAAACGGTACTTATAAATCTAATATCACTTCTCCTGCCAGGGAAACAAGATCAACGTTAAAGAAATATGGGGTAGAAACTCCGGACAGGGGAGATTACTACACTGGTAGAAGTTCTTTTTCCCGACAGAGTAGCGAGTCGGGGACCGATTCCTGGCTTGAACCGAGTCAGCCCCGCATCCAGCGGAAATATGCAACTGGAAATACTAGGACAAGGAGCACATTGGATAACCTCTTAAATGATAATACGGAATCTTCATCACATGACCTTTTAGGTCATATAGGTGGCGCTCCGGCTAGAAGAAAAGAGGCAAGGCCTATTCCCAGACAGAAAGCAACAGTGACAACAGGAAACACCAGAAGTATAAATTTTACTTTAGTCTTAGTACAGATTTTCCTGTTTACTGACACTCAGTTTATCTGTGTGAAATTTTTGTATGCATACCTATAAATTGTTTATAAAACTTTGCTTTTCTAGTTTAAGTTGTTTCTTAATGTAGGAAGGTATATTAGTTCAAGCTAGAAAAAAGAATGTGAAAGAAATTATGGAAAGTAGTGGCATGTCCCTTAACATGTTTCTGGGGATTTAACTGCCTTCCAGGTCATATGGAGTGTAAGCCCTGATTTTACAGATATTAAATTCAAAGCTATTCTACCAAAGGAAAACAATTATTTTGTTTTGTTTTCTAAACTGTTTCAAATGATTTTAAAGGTACAGCAAAGGTGAGGAGTAATATATCAGCCAAAGATGTGCAAAAAGAAATGTCAAGATACACTGCCAGTAATGCTTCCAGTGGTGCTGCTCAAAATAGGTCAGTCTGCTCTCTTGATGAATTAAATGTCAGAATGAAATATAGATAAATAAATATTTCCGACATTATGACAAAACAGTGACAATTAAAATCCCCCCTAAACCCCCCCCCCCCCCCCCAAAAATTTTTTTTTAACTCACTCAGTGTTTGAGCCGTACCTATAAACGCTTGCAGAAATCATGAGCACAAAGTAGAAAAGTATCGTTTTTTTCGCCAGTTCATTATCGTATATAAATTTTTGTGAAGTGATGAATAAGACATTTTAATGTTCATTATGTTAGGTGAAAAAGCGAAATTTTAGCAATTAATTATTTAAGCGCCTTGTCTGTTATATACCGGAATATGGTATTTTTCCAACACTGTTTTAGTCTCACCCCCCCCCCCCCCAAAAAAAAACAAGAAAGAATGTACTTTAAATGCATTTCTACATCTCTACAATAATTTATTACAAGTTAATGATCGGAATGCATGTTTTATACTACATATAAATGTATTTGCTGCCTGTTGGCAAAAAACATTATAAATTGGTAATTTGTTGTAAAATATCATCAGTAATATAGGAAAGTTTCGTAACATTGGCTGTGTGAACTTCTTTCGCAAGTTTTAGGTATCAGAATATTGCTCGATTAACTTTACCAGCTGAATTTATTACAAAATGTTATAACTTTTTCTTCAGATCAAGCAAGCCTAATATTGAGGTACGTGTCCGTCCGAACGAGGCTGATGAATTATCTGACCTAGTTACCGGATCTCGGCAACGTACTCGTGCCAACAACGTTTTCGGCGCACAAACCAATAAAACTTCAACAGTAAGTTTAAACAAAAAATTGAAGCACTTTGTAATTTTTTTTTAAACAATATCTCTTCAAACTCATCAAAGGTTCTACATGTAAGTTGTTTGGATTTTATTTTTAAGAAATTTGTTTGCTGTAAAATTTTTGCTACAGAAGTATTAAGTCACATGAGCTCGAGTGTTCTTTTAATTTCATAAAATTGTCATGTTTTTTATTTTCTTATTTCAGAAACGGAGGACAGACAATAGATAATGAAACCACAACATTCCATAAGAATAAACACCTGTGATAATTGCCATTTAGTGTCCCGATACCTTTTTTAAGTGTGATAATACTTCACTTTTATATGTAATGTAGTGTCTTAAATCAATGTATATACATATATATTCACTTTTTTGCTAAGCAACAGAGTACAGTATTTTTTACTCCTGATATAATGTATATGAAATAATAAAGTGATTGATAAATATATTAAGAATAACAAGGTCTATGCAAGTCTAGGGTAGAAATATTTAAAGGTTTAGACTCCCTAAATTGTGTGATAACTAGTAATAAAGGCATGCTATTAAAACAGTGTATGTGATTTACTGTGTTTATCTGTTGTACAAATTTTTTTTTTGTATCATAAGACTTCTGTAAAAAAAAAAAATCGTTTTTTATATTAAAGTTTGCCAAGAGTTCACCAGAGGAAATAACAATTTGCCCCATATAGATTCTGTCACATTAGGGGTGATTTACCCTAGGGTAGTGTCAATTTGTCACTCTCTTAAATAATCATATGAGCTTGTTATAAATCATTTAACAATAATAAATGCTTACATTAAATGTATGTTTTGGTGTAATTTTATGATTGAAAAATAAGCTTTAATATATGGGGCAAATTGGGCAAATCTATATAGAGAGAATTGTCAGTGGGAGAGATTGTTATATAATCTGCCGGTTGCATTCATTAGAGTTAAGATTTATTTTACATTGTATATTTTGTCTACTGTGCGCCATTCCTTTAAGTGTCAGAAAGATGCATTTTACAATGTCAAGAATGTATGCCATATTTTATATTGTTGTGTAAAAAAAATATCCTAAGTAATTAACTAGATAAATTTTATGTTTTTTTTAAATATTCATTTCCACACTATTTTCTGTTAAATTTTAATCACTATTCATCCCACATTCATTTGACCTTTAACCTGCTTGAAAGTGATCAGCTTTTGCTACAAGGATAAAGCTAGGCCAGCACATTATACTGTTGTTAAGCTCAATATATATGAGCTGTGTCACGAGAAAACCAACATAATGGGTTTGCGACCAGCATGGATCCAGACCAGCCTGCGCATCCGCTCAGTCTGATCAGGATCCATGCTGTTCGCTTACAACTCTATAACAAGTAGGGAAACTGATAGCGAACAGCATGGATCCTGATCAGACTGCCCGGATGCACAGGCTGGTCTGGGTCCATGCTGGTCGCAAACCCATTATGTTGGTTTTGTCGTGACACGGCTCATATGTGTTTTGATATTGAAATCCTTTGTGCTTTGAATACATTGTTTCTAACTCAAAATAGGATAACTCCATTGCACAAATTTTATCAGGTTAAAATACACAAATACATTTACCGAGTCAGATACATCAACATGTATTTTTATTATTTTGTCTACAATTTTAATGAACTGCTGAATTAAAAAAATCAATGAAATTTCAATCAAGTATGCTATTTTCATGTTGTACAGAGTCATACAGTTCTTAAAGGGACTCCACTGAAGTTTTTTTGACATGAAGGGACCGAAAATATGTTTTCAGAATTATTGTATTACTGTAACCAATAGTTTGTGGGCAAAATTTTAGATCATTTACTTACTCTGATTCCCAGGTATAACAAATTTTATTACACAAGTTGACCCCAAAATTAAAAGCTTTTCACTCAGTTTGGCCCAAAAACGCATGAAAATAGATTATCAGTTTAGTTTAGAGTATATTTACATATTATCTATTGCATAGTTTTCTTTTTTTAAAGTGCATCAGTTGATTTATGAATGAATTTCAAATTTTGAGATTTTAGGCTATTAGTGAAGTTCCTTTAAGTATAATACCAAAATGTTACTAAATATAGTACCTGGTATCTTTGTCTGAGAGTTGTACTCTGGTACACTTTGCATGGCCAAACATTGCAAGTGAAGCTGGTGCAGCCATTGTGTCCGGACATAGCCAAAAGCAAAAATCAGATCAAGGAAATTTTTCAACATAGTCGTTCACTTCAGCTTGAAGGGTCGTCTTGCAATGTTCTTTTAATTGAATTCCTTATTATACTGCAAACACTTTTTTGTTTGCATTGTGTTCTAAATTTCAAAGCACAAAGTAGCAGAAGTCAGTCATCTTGTTACAGCGCATAAAAAGACTAGATCATCTATTTTCCATCTAAACTTCTATGTAGCACATTTGCTGTCGCATCTTTACATTTATGTCATTTGTTAGTGAATACTTTGTTAAACTTTTGTTTACATTCCCTTGTTTTGAGTTATTGTCTTTTTAGTATAATTAATTTTTTGTTAAGAATATTAAAAAAAAATTTTGAAAACTATTTACATGTGATCCAAAACCAACATCAAAGTATATTATTGCCATTGTTTATTTATTTTGACAAGTTTTGTGTTTAGAGAATTTCAAACA